TTAACACTTTCCCCCAATCTCCATTTTTCCCCAGGAAAGCGAAGTCAAGTGGGCCTCAAGATGGGACACGTACCTCCTCATGACGGACGACCAAATCCACTGGTTCTCAATCGTCAACTCTCTAATGATCGTCCTCTTCCTCTCCGGCATGGTGGCCATGATCATGCTCCGAACCCTCTACCGGGACATCTCCAGATACAACGAGCTCGAAACCCAAGAAGAAGCCCAAGAAGAAACCGGCTGGAAACTCGTTCATGCCGATGTTTTCCGGCCACCGGCCAATTCCGATCTCCTCTGCACTTACGTCGGCACCGGAGTCCAATTCCTCGGAATGGTCCTTGTCACCATGATTTTCGCCGTGCTCGGTTTTCTTTCCCCTTCCAATCGAGGCGGCCTCATGACAGCTATGCTCCTCTTATGGGTTTTCATGGGAGTCCTTGCTGGCTACTCCTCGGCCCGTCTTTACAAAATGTTCAAAGGCACCGAGTGGAAAAAAATCGCCCTCCGCACCTCGGTTCTCTTTCCCTTCACTGTGTTCACCGTTTTTTTCGTGCTTAATGCTCTTATATGGGGCGAGAAGTCTTCGGGAGCTGTCCCGTTCGGGACGATGTTCGCGCTCGTCGTGCTCTGGTTCGGGATTTCCGTACCGCTCGTCTTCCTCGGGAGCTATGTCGGGTTTCGAAAGCCCGCCATTGAAGACCCGGTCAAAACGAATAAAATCCCGAGGCAAATACCCGAGCAGGCTTGGTACATGAACCCGGTTTTCTCGATTCTGATTGGTGGGATTCTCCCGTTCGGTGCAGTTTTCATCGAACTCTTTTTCATCTTGACCTCGATCTGGCTGAACCAGTTCTACTACATATTTGGGTTTCTTTTTATAGTTTTCTTGATTCTGCTCGTGACTTGTTCGGAGATCACGGTCGTTCTGTGCTACTTCCAGCTGTGCAGTGAGGACTATTTGTGGTGGTGGAGGTCGTACCTTACGTCGGGCTCCTCGGCGTTGTACCTTTTCATGTACGCGGTTTTCTACTTCTTCACGAAGCTCGACATTACGAAACCAGTGTCGGGCGCGTTGTACTTTGGGTACATGCTGATTGCTTCGTACGCGTTTTTCGTGCTGACGGGGACGATCGGGTTCTACGCGTGCTTCTGGTTTACCAGGCTCATTTACTCTTCTGTCAAGATTGATTGATTTGGTTTGGTGTTGGTAAGTTTTTTTTTATTTTTATTTTTTTTTTTAGTTTACAAGGAGAAAATGAGAATGCATTGAGGTTACATACGTTTATATATATATGGTTTTATAGAAAGGACATCAGAACTTAGCAATTCTTTCTTGAATTGAATTGTTTGTGGTAATTAGTAGCAACTGTGTTAGAATATTTTTTTTTTTTTATTATTATTATTTTTTTTATTTTCTTTTTTAATTATGTGGGAACTGTGAAC